CAGCTTTAAAGCCATTTTCACGAAAAATGGCATTACTTTTTATGGTGGCATGCCAAACAGGGCCTTAATATAATAATGCTGTGTTATACCGGCAGAAAATATTCAAAGTAACCTGGAAATTCAAACCTAAATCCGTGAGTTTTCCCTAGAATTGAATGCCCAGGCATTCCCCGTGGCATCCGTCAAGGTGCTGTGTCCAGGTGGCACCCACCATACAAACATTTGGGCAAGCCTCCTGTCCTATTAACGAGAGCCGAGAGTGGATGGCCCTTGTTCAATGCAACCATCTTCAGCTCTGTGCCAGTGATCAATTGCCCCTGACTAACCTATCGACTCCATTAGGTCCAGATCGGAACCATATTGAGGGGGATGTGAAGGTATTTAAGAGAGCTAAATGGGCTCCAGCCAGCTATTTCAGGCTATGGTGGCAAGTGAGGACAACGGGGATGGCCGCGACTTAATTGATAACTCATGCACGGATCGAGGAAACTCGACCCCATTCCCACCCAAAGTACAGTGTTCCCAACCGTCCGGGCCCCCACAAAGCCCGGCCGGTGACTACCGTGACCCCAGAACCAGACGGGACGGCATATTGTAGTCCATCTGGGGCAGTAATTTGGCAGGATGGCCTTCTTTGGCTTGGGCAGTGGGTCCTCCGGAGTAAGGAGTGTATGCATCGAGATCTATAGAGGGCTTCAGGGGAAGAATAAGGCTTATTAGTGATTATGGAGAACGGTAGGTGATTGTAGGGGACTATGGGGGACTGTGGGAGACTATAGGGATTATGAGCGACTATGGACGACTATGAGGGATCATGGGGGACTATGGGCAGTACCTGCTTTGACTATGCAGGGTCTAAGTTTCTCTGTTCCAGCCCACTTCGTCACGTTCCCATATACTACAAGCTCAATCTAGGAAAATACCAGTTCGATGATTGCCCTACGTCAGCAACAAATTCTGCGAAGAAAAGCGTGCAACAAATTGAGAAGACTTTTGGTAAGACACACCTAAAAATGATTCTCACATGTCATATTTCGCGGCTTCTGCTCTTGGTCATCAAAACGATATTACTCTAGTGGAGTTTCACAGTTACTCGCGCTGTGTCAGGATATCGCTTGAATAGGCTTGCCCCGGCTATTGGTGGAGATAATACTGACTGAGACTGTCACAACCAGGCTGGCCTCCTAGAATGAGAAGCAGCAGATACTGAAATTCCTGGTACTCTTCCGGGGAGGCCAGGGATTCGCCCATACAACAATATAAGCGCTTAGAGGCCCAACGTCCTATTTAGTCGTTCGGGGGTACTCTTACCAAAGTCGGTTGCACATTTGCGTCTTCGGCTTCCCCAAGCCACTGGGAACTTCCCCGGAATATCGCGGTTTTTTTTGTAGGCTGGCCTGATACACTGAGAATTGCAGTCCTTGGAGTAAAGTCGTTTGGTCGTTGGCAATATTCAGTAAAATTAAATACTACGCGAATGCAACAAAGCCCTGTGGCATGCACACAACCGGAAAATCTGAAGCGGGGAATGTACGGTCCATCCAGATAGTTGGTCATATGGTGATATGACCAAGTGGGCTATCCGCATAGCCCGCCCAGTCAAAACCCTCTGAGGGCAGGTTCGCCCTATTCCCCATAAACCGATGGACTAGAGCCCATGGCCCCGCCCGTCCTGTCCTAAAAGAACATCGGAAGGGATGGTTGAGAATAATGTCAACATATGATACTCTCCATATATGCCACTCTCCTTAAACCTCCTTACTTGTCCTACTTTTGCTGCCCCCCCCCCCCGGGAGCCCTGCGAGTTAACGGCTGGGCGCTGCTCCATGTGTCCCGAAAATGATGGTTACTGCTCATAGATAGTATGAACATGTGTTAAATGGTTACTGAATTTTTGGTGGCATGGGATTCGTCCTGCTTCGATGAACACCCTGCACCGTACTGTATACCGCCAAGGTCTGCAAGTCATGGGATTGGACTTTATATAACCCTGCATCTGCCACCATTTCGACTCACAGAAAATCCACTCTTATTTCAACCTACAGGACATTCACCCTAGGATGGTATATCTCTTGAATGTGGCCCATATATCAGAGCTTTCACTGGAAAGGCGAACGAATTGGCCGACATTCCTAATGTGACATGGTAGGTCTTCATGAGTAGGCGAGAATGCAGGTTCTCAACCGTGGAACTCTAACTACAATTACCCGGGCTGGGACTGTGCAGCTTATATTGCGCGCCACCCCCTTGTTCTTTAGCACACCACCACACAGCATCAATCATCAGGCCTCTACCTACTAAATTGCTACAACGCCAGGATTGTTCAAAATGCGGACTTTTTCAAAAAGCCACTCCCTTACTGTACCCGCACTGCGTCCTTCCATTCGCCGCTTTAGGACTCCCGCGACCTCTGGTCTGAGCCTCATAAAGACTGGGTTCGAGCAAGGCAGTCCTGAGGTGTTGCCGAAAATTCGGCAGTACCAAAGCTATATCCGCAGGCAAGAATTGTACACAGGGCCGAATGTTTACGGGCCTGGTTTTTCTGGCGAGCCCCCTAGGCCCTGCACTTGCGGAGGAAGGTATGATTTTCGCCGTAATGAGCAGCTTTTTCTCCAGAAACAAGACCTACTTCTTGAGAAAGCTACTAGACATGGCTTCCTGACTGTATATATTACACCTTTGATATTCTTATTTGGTCTAATTTCTATATAGGGCATGATACTGAATGAAAAAATTGAAATGATGAAGGACGAGGGTAGATATAATATCCGCGGAGCTCTCCGTATGTAATGACAGTTCCTGCATGTCTATTCTCTACTAACATTGCGGCTCAGAATTCCTCGTTTTCAGTGCGTATGCACTGGACATAATAGGCGATTTTCGTCGGATACAAAACGGCCTTAACAACCTGGCCGCTACACCGAAATTCATCCGCATCCTCGAAGAGGAAGCCCATGCGCGTGGTCTTGTGCCCAAGGAGATAGCGATTTGTGTCCATGATCTTTATCAAAAGGTGGAGGAACGTTCGTACCCTATTGAAGATATTATTACCATTCGATCTACAGACTTTGGTGTCCATGACCGGGCTGCACTGGTTGTTTTCATGAAGTTGCAGAATGTGTGGACGAATGCATTGTTTTGGCGTGAGGAAGCGACAGAGGAGGGGGCGGTGGGACACAGCCGTTGATAGATGGTTGATAGATGGTTCCTAAATGATGCTCTTCCGTGTTCCCCGCACAAGCTTCTATTTCCCATATCTTTGTGCCAAAACCCTATAGTTTTCAATACATGTCACCTCCATTTCACTTGCGCCAACTACCATAGCCTGTACACCCTCCACAACCCATCTTCGTAGAATTAGATGTAGGACTCCAAGCACCCCTACATTCTTTGATGCCAACAGTGACCACGCCCCTCAGAAAAGAGGGCACAGGCGTTTGAGCAAGCCTCCCATCTGTTGGAAATCGCGAGGCGCTGCTCGGCATGCTCCCACGATAGTTTGCTTTCTTTGTCCGGATAGCTTTGGAAACGCGCTTGGGATTTTCGCGAAAGCATTTAGGCTGCAGGAATGCACGGAAGTTTTGGATTGATGCAGCGGCCAGGAGGGAGGCGGGGAGGCTGTGTGGAAAGCCGGATAGTTAGAGGCCCGGAGGCTATGGACAGTGGGAGTTTGTCTTTCCTTTGTTAGCACGGGAGTCAGGGCAAAGGAGGAGGGGAGGCATACGAGCGATAGGATGGACATGTGTGGCAGTCCGCGGAAGGATAGAAGGACCTGGTTTGTTGTTGACATATACCGGTACTCCTGTCTACACCATTAGTTAGTAGAGATAAGATGGTGAGGAACGCGAAGAAAAAGAAACTTCCCTGCTCCTGAGTTGTGCAATCGCCTGGTGAGTGAACTCTTGGCGTTTCGTTTCACCGTTTCGTCCTTGCACTGTTGCACTGTGGCTATTGTTATCTTCGATCCACGTTTAAAACTGTTCTGCTAATGGGAGCCACGAGCGGGTGGACCCAGTCCAATGCAACCATCATTTTGCTGTGACCAATCGTCCCTGACTAACCTACCGACTCCATTAGGTCCAGATCGGATTTATAGTGAGAGAGGGATATGGAGATATTTGAGAGGATAGAGCGCAGGGCATAATGGAACTCCTAGCACTCTTCCGGGACGGGCAGGCATTGGGCCATACAATAACATGAGTACCCAAAGGCCCAACATCTTATTCAGCCCTTCGGGGGCACTAACATAATATCAAAGTTTATTGCACATTTCCTCCTCCAGCATCTCCAAACCCCTGGGAATTTCCCTAGATTATCACGCTTCTGGTAAGCCGAGCTGTTACACCAAAAACTGCGGCCCCTAGAATGAAGTTATTTCAGGGTCGGCAGGATTCAGTAAATAATACGGGAACGCGACAAAGCCCGGTGGTACGCACGCAACACGACAGTCCAATGCGAGAAATGTACGGTCCATCCAGGTGCTTAGTCAAGGTAGTGAAATCGCGAAGTCGGCGGTCCCCCATAGTCCTCCAAGCCAGAACCCTCTGGGGCAGGTCAGCCCTGGGACCCGCAAAATGACGGACTACAGTCCCACCGACCTACCCGCCCTATCATAGAGGACGGACGGGGCGGTTGAGAACACTGCTGACATATGATACTCTCCATCTATGCCAGACCCCTCAAGCCTCCTTCCTTGTTCTATGTGCAAGTACTTCTGCCACCCCCGGAGACTTGCGAGCTAACAGCTGGGCCCTGCCCCATGTGTCCCAAACATGATGGTTAACTGCTCGTAGATACTATGAACATGTGTCAAGTAGTTCTGAATTTTTGGAGGCGTGGGACTCAAGCTGCTTCGGTGAACAGCCAGTGCAGTACTGTGCTAGTACTCGTACACTGCCAAGGTGTGTGATTGAATTTTGTGTAACCCTGTATCCACCATCATTTCGACCCTCAGAAAATTCACTTTTATTTCAACCCACAGGAAATTTACCCTGCTCAGCTCTCTATTACGAGGCGGCGGTGGTGTCATGCGTGTGGATATGGGAAGAACTCTTTGTTTTTCACTTCCCGCAGCTCCTAGCACGGTAGTAATCTCTTGGATGGAAAAGTTATCAGTTCAGCTCAGGCGCTTCGGGACAGCGAGTTCGGGTAACCTGATTGTTAAACTCATAAAGCGGAAAAGCCCGGGGCCCATAATTAGGGTGGATCGTGGTGGGCCCGACAGAAACACTGCCGTTCATCAGAGTGAAAGCTCATCTTCCCTTGTTCCCGAATTTCACATTATTTAAAGCATGGGGACTAACAAACCAGTGCCGATTTAGCCACCCTCGGCAAATTAGCCATTCCCGATTGATTTATTTCTTTTGGTAACACAATTCCTCAAGCCGCTAAGGATTTCGAGTCAGGTCCGTAATCGAGAACAATGCCCTGTTCAAGTAATCATGGCCACATCTACTGCTGCATCCTCTACCTCTGTTGTTTCCATTATGGTCATGAGGAGCAGTACATAGTTTACAGTGTTCTGAGCGATGCAAATTCACAGAGGTACCCAGGTATTTCCTATTAGAAGGTTGCAGAATGGGGTTGCCTGTGGTAGTGGCATTGGGATTTGGTTTGGACTTATGAGGCCGCATCCCAACTTTCGAACCGAAGTGTTTTGGGTCCGGGATTGAAGTGCTCTGGCCATTATCCTCGGCTTTGGCTGTTGCTGGAAGCGTTCTTGTCCTGCTGTTCAACCGTTTTGCGAGCGGTAGTAGTGAGCCCTGGCTGCCGGATGTGCCGCTGTGCCAGACCAGAGGGTCTGCAGGACATGCGGAGGTATGTCTGTATCATGGTTTGCTTACATCCTAGACATGGTGCTGTAGGGCGCAAATACCGGTCCAGTGAACATATGGCCGTTAGTCCAGATTGATATATTGAACCAGATACAGTGTGAATCATGAACCCAGCTCAACAAACACAGTCAAATCTAATGGAGAGCCCATATTACGTAATGCACCCCATCCCGTTTGAAGGCTTTGCGATCTCTGGACCAACGAGCTCTAGCTGAGGTTACCGGACACGTGACTGCTCCGTCAAACCTATACCAAAGGGTTGGCGGTTTGTGTTCTACAACACCCCCATTACCTATCATTTCCCTACTAGTGACTCAATTGTCACAGTGCTAAAGTCGTCCAAAATGCACCCTTTCTCCAAGCCACTTTCTCTCATTGTAACCAGACTCCGCCCCTGTTCCTACCAGGTTGCTACTCCGATTGGTTCTGGTCGAAAGATGGTACAAACCAAGTCCATGCGAGGTTTCAGTGGAGGAGAGGAGATTCGGCGGTACCAGGGAGATACCCACAATCAGCAAGTTTGCTCAAAGGAGGACCCATTTGGCTCCCTTAGAGTGTCTTATCTTCGCTATTTTGAAACCCACGAAAAAGCTTTTCATGACCACCAGAACCAGATTCTCCAGCAATTCAAACTGAGTCTCGAGCTTGCCGATGAACATGTCAGAGCCGCTGTATGTCCGGTCTCCTTGGTACCTATAATGGGTCTAACATCTGTATAGGTTGATGGAATCACAAGGAGGAAGATTGAGGAAAGAAGGGACATCCGCGGGGCCATAGGTATACAATTCCGATTCTTAAATATTGGCTTAGCACTAACCTTCCGGTTTAGAACGCGCTGTCAGTCATGCTACTAAGCTTAAGGTGACTGGAAAGGGTAAGGAGGCCGGGGTCCAATCCGGAATTGAAAAAATGGTGGGCGACAGGGAAGGGGAATTTATCAAGCTCCTGAATCAGGAAGCAAAAGCCCGGAAGCTTATACCCGGACAAATTACCATTTGCGCCCTCAATATATACCACGGATTATCGAAACACTTCCATGGTCATGAAGGTACCGTTACTATACGATCCACCGACTTTTCTGATAATGAACGAGCTGCGTTGGTCGTGTTCATGAAGCTTCAGAGCTTGTGGGTGGACCCATTGAGATGGACGGAAGAGGAGGCCTAATGAGAAAGTTGGAGGTAGATGTTTGTATTTGGTGTTCAGGTTATGTTCTTCTATGTCTGCTGCAGCAGCTTCTATTTCATATATCTTAGTTTAAAAGAGGCCCGCCAGTTTTCTAATGGTCGTCATACTTCTAAAATCTTTCCTATCCTAGAACTATATGCTCGCTCATTACCGCCACTGTACAGGATAATCCTAAAAGGGCATGCCGTCTCACGGGGTCGAATTCTGGAACTTGCGTACCACTTGTTTGTTCAATTCATGAATGGCAATCATCAAAATCAAAAAAAACCACAAGGCGGATCTTATAGCTAGCCGGGGGGTTCTAGATATCGGGAGCAGATCAAGCACGGGATTAAGGCACAGTACATATAAAGGTATGGACGAGATCAAGCTTTCGGCCCATTGATGGGTTACTAATTAAGTCACAATGACCACACTAGTCCGCATCCCCATCGTGTGCCCAAATAAGCGGCGATTCTCCTCCAGAATACCTCCATATGTCTCTTGCTTCTGCCGCGACTAGATCCCACCGGTTCATTCGGTTATCTCAAGTTATGGTTCGTTGGGCAGGTTTGCGTCGTGTCTGCGCCTGTTCGACCAGGGCCAACTCCTTGGATGGCTTGGAAAAGAAACTGCAAATGTCGTGTGAGTAAAGATTTAATATTCTAGGATCCATCGGTAGTATACAACCACGATTTCCACCTGTCAATCTGGCCCAACCTTCACGTTTAGAATGAACTGTTTACCATAATCGCGTGCTTCGAAAGATGGATATCCCTGTAAGGACTGCAAGATATCATTAATAAGTTGGTTAGCATGGGTGCTTATAGTCGTTAAACATCCCTCTCAAAAAAAGTAAGGTAGCATTCGCACTTATTACCCCCCCCCCAACAAACAGAAGCCCCCAAAACCCGCAATCCACAGCAGCACTGCAATCTCCGGATTTTGAGAAAGGGGCCGTGAGTGGGACTGAAAATTTTCCGCGTGCCATACGAGATTAACCCACAGGAGGGATTGGATCTCATCCGCTCGCATTCGCAATTCTGTCAACCTGCCAAACTAAAGGTCTGTTTGGCGAGAACAGCAAACCATGGTTGATGAACTAGCCAATGGAAACGCTTATTTGATATGGTAGTTTTGGGGCCTGTCATTGGCTAGTTCACCAACCATGGTTTGCAGTCGTGCTAAACTACCCCTAACCCTATAGCGTGCTAATCGGCCGATACTCCCGCAGTGAGTTTCAAGACGTCTTGGGGTATGATGTCATAGTCCACTGGGGACCCAAACCCCTGCAGTCGGCCAACCCTGCACCACACTGTTCCGCCAGCCCGGGAATCTGGCCGCACAGGCAAAACTAACCGGACTCAGAACCTCATTTGCCATCAGATTAGGGTGCATGCCTTCAAAACGTATCATACGGTACACGAGACTGTGTAAAAGTACTGCCAAGACCTGATTCTGTAAACAGTTAGTCAAGAAAGATTAGGGTTTATATTGAAGGGTTTAAATTATCAAGACTACTTTTAATATTGGAATGTGATGCAAATCATCTATAACATGTAAAGGACCTGACAGTCTGATGACAACAACTGTCTGATAACAATTTAATAAACAGTTATTTGACAGGATACCCCTCTTGAAACCCAAATTTGATAGAATACTACTGTAAAAAAGAAATGTTTGATAGAATGCCACCTACTACAAGTTTTTCCACCAAATCTTTTCCATACAATTTATCCTACCTCTAACAATATACGTCTGACATAGCAGAATGCATTAAGTGATAAAAGTAAATATATTACAGCAATGTACAAAAGCAAGTACTAAACATGAAATTTTAGGTATGTTAGAATATAATAATCAACTATTATAATGTCAAATTATTCTGCTTCTCTGTTCCATATTATCTAAACATGAAATAAATAGTTAGTTGTCAAACAAACTTTTCCCATATCATACAAGTTATATAGACTAATTTCTTGATTTTTATTACCAAGTTATACTACAAAGTACTTATTAGTAAAGTTGAGGATTAAAGTTGGAGAATACTTTAAAAGCTTGCTGAAATGACAAAGTTATAATAAGGCTATTAGAGGAGAAATAAGAATTGTAAATAAAAGCAGAGAAGTAATACTTATTATTAAGAAAAGTTGGGGGTGGAAAGAAATAGCTGGACTCAAGATAATTATTACTTGAAAGAGGAACAAATATGTAATAGAGTTTATACTCTTGATTCTTCTACTAGTATATTATCACTTCTTATATTCTTTTCAGTTGATATTGTATTGAGTTTTTTTTTTTACAAGAGTATTCTGTTAAAATTTTGAGCTATAGAAAAGTATACTATTAAATAAGCACTTTTGTTTTGATTTAATATATTTCACTCTATATTAGACTGATAGTATTAGAGGTAGAATTTCCTGTGAGGAAAATATTAGGTTGAAAGACATGTAATAGATGGTATTCTATCAATTTTTGTTTTACAGTAGCATTTTGTCAAATTTGGTTTTAGAGAGAAGCATTCTGTCAAATAACTTTTTTTTTTACATAGACTAATAGTCTATCTTAAGATGTATCTAGATATGAGATTTCAAATATTTTTAAGAATAGAATCAATAGTTATTATAGAGTCTTTCAGAATATTCTTACTTTTTTGAGATTTAATAAAGCTTATAAACCTGTAGTACAAATTTTGAGACTGTTAAAACTTTTATTAATTCTTATAAGTCCTTCTTCTAATATGTCTTAATGTATAATATTAATAAATAATCTTTATTTAAACCTATAAATTTTTTGTAAACTGCAATCTATTTACATAGAATTAAACAGCCTAGGATATTATTGTCTTTAATTTTTGTACTATTTCCTGTATACCTGGATGGCTATTTGGATTTCTTTCTCAAAAAATAGTTTTCTCATATTCTTAAAAGTTCTGTGATTGCTATGCAAACTGAAGCTACCTCTAGCTCAAAACACCAAAAAAGTAAATTTACTCATTTTTCCCGAACTGTACCCATATGCTATTCTCGACTTCTATTACAATATACTTTTCTTAGTACATGCCAAATGGAGCCCTACATACCCTGGAAAACCCTAGCAGTTTTGTTTTGTTTGAAAGAAACAATCTTAAAACCCTACATAGTAGGTGGAACAGTTTATAATTATGGAATACAGATTACATATTCTAGTTCTCCATATTCTAAAGTACTTGCAAATAAAATTCCAAGGTGGTCTCACAATTATCCACCAAGACAACCGGACGTATGTTTTATTTTAGGCTGGTTGCCATGGGTGAGCAGGATCCAGGTGGTGGGCGGATTCCCCGTAAGTTAAGTTATATCCGCCTACTCAAAGCCTGCTCCCCACAAATCGCACTACTCCCACGCCTAACCATACTTCTACTAGGTACTGTCCGGTGTCAGAGCGCATCTCTCTTCCTATGTGGCTTTAGTCATCCAAACTGTATATGATGCCAAATTCTTTAGCACACTGTATAGATGTCTGAAGCCATAACTCATGCCCCAAGGACACATCTTGTACCGACTCCGGTGCCCCTCTGAATTGGCGTCCCACTGGAATGATCACCAGGTAGCGTGAAATCTGGGCCAAGGTGTAATTGCCAAGGTTGGAGAGGGTGGAGGTGCTAGATTGGGTGTCTGGAATGTAGCCTATCCCTTCGTTCGTTCCCGAGTTTCACGACCTTTTAGCGCGTAACTTGTCCTCTGATCTTCAAAAACTAGGCTCATGAAAGGATGGCCGCGGTTGCTCAATGGTGACCTGGCCAATGGAATTTGTGACTCCCAAGGAGTCAATTAATCTTTCCCTCAAGTAGCGAGACTATGGCCCTATTCGTCTTGGGTGTGAGGTCCTGAATACAGACGAAGGGATGTGTCAAGAAAGAGCTTCCTGAGTACGAGTAGGCAAACCAGTAGGTTCTTGGCCATAGAAGCGTAACTATTGTTACCCGGGCTCGGACTGCGCAGTGTATATTAGCATGCTACCCCCTATTCCTTAGTGGACCACCCTTAACATCAATCGTCAGGCCTCTACCTACCAAATTACCAGAGCGTCAACATTGTTCAAAATGCAGTCCTTTTCAAATCACCATTCTCTTACTATTTCTTTATTCCGTCTTTCCGTTTACCATTTCAGGACTCCTGCAGCCTCTGGTCTGAAGATTCTAAAGACTCAGCTCAAGCAAGGTAGTTGTAAGGTGCAGCCGAAAATTCAGCAAAGATATTTCTTCCTGGGGACCAAGGAGGTTGTGATCAATGAATCGGATACTAGTTACTATGGCCGAGCTCGAGAGAAGGTTAATCGTCGTTTCCAGCAGTTTGTTACCAATCAACAGGACTTATATAAGTACAAAACTAATAGACTTGTCGACCTGGATGTATAATTCCCACCCTTGATGTTTTTACTTGGTCTGATTTCTGTACAGGCTATGATTCTGAAGGAAAAAATTGAAAGGATGAAAACCGAGAAAAAAAGTGATCTTCGTGAAGTTCTGGGTATGCCATAATATGCAATTCCTACATGTCTATTCCCTACTAACCTTTTAGTATAGAACTGCTCGTGTACTGTGCGTATTACAGAGACCAATTACGCGAATTTAATGGCATGCAAGACAGCCTTATCCAGCTAGGCACCAAACCAGACTTCTTTTACTACCTCGGGGGGGAGGCCCTTGCGCGTACCCTTGCGCCCAGGGATATAGAGCCTTGTATCTTCTATCTTTATCAAGCGGTACAGCGACGTAGGTGCCCTCCCAGTGGGGTCGTTTTTATCCGTACTAGAGACTTTAGTTTCCATGAACGGGCTGCACTGGTTGCTTTCATGCGGTTGCAGGATGAGTGGTTAAAAGAAGTTGATTGGCATGAGGTTAGGGTGGTTAGGGAGGGGAGTAGGTGGGAACAGCTGGAAATACTTGCTGATTCCGAAAAAAGGTTTGGGGAGAAACCTAGAGAATTGTTTGTAGAATACTAGTAAGATACCTTGTGAAAATGATTGGCAACAGCAACAGCATCAGCAACAATAAACTTGGTATTAGACATCTGGTTGGTATGTTCTGACACGGGGTTTTATTTTGTTGTGTCCCCTGTATCCCATGTATCCTAACTCCTGTTACAATGTCTCCCTGCATCTTGTGTATCCTGACCTCCATTACAATGTCCCCCTACATCTTGTATGTCCTGACCTTTGTGGTGATGGTGCTCCTGCATCTCCTACATCCCATCACCACTCCCCTCACTTGCTTGCCTCCCTTATCTTCTAGGCTATGAGTGTGATATCTAGTTTATATCCTAATCCTGCTACTGTACTAATTCCCTCCTGCTAAGCAAAACTCTCACAGCTTTGCATCTAGGTCACTCACTATCTGTCCCTCTTTCCCTGTAATGACCCTATAATACCAGCTGTTATAACTTATATCTATGGCCATATATAAGGCCTAGAGGTCCAGTGGTGTACTATGCAGATATGGAAGAGCATGTTAGCTAAGATATCCAATGGTCATCAGCAAAAATTTACTCTTACATCCTGTGCATCCTGTAGGTCTGATACATAGGATGCACAGGACACAAACTGTTAATTGGGACCTTGACTGAATTCATTATTGCATCCTGACATTTGTATCTGCACCCTCCTGCATCTCAACACTTACTAGACATGTGACACTCAAATCCCATCAGCAAAAAAAAAACTCTGCATCTGATGCATGGGCAGCGCATCCTGATGCTGTAGTTTTTTTTTTTACATCCCCCTGTGTCCTGTGGGTCCTGATTCTGGGTGCACTACCCCACTGCGTCCTGT